CTGAGGTTTTATCTTTGGACCGGTTATCTCAGAACTTGCCTCTTCAATGGAAATGAAATGAGCTCCCCCTTGTGCGACTCGGTTCTATGGCTTGAGATTCGAGGAGGCTCCCTAAGTGAACTGTTTTCACAAACGGTGATGTCTCCAAGAAGCCACTGGCCAGCCCAAAGAAATCAGTATGGAGTAAACGCTAACCTAAGTGCCCCATCGGAGAATTAGGGACAGAAACGGTAGCACAGCCACACGTACAAAGAGGGCCTGAGATCAGCGATGGAGAAGTAATCCGAGAAGGCAATAAAAGGCGTTCTTCAGAGAAAGTGAAAGTCAGTCTCTTAGAGAGCAGCAGAGGGGAGGAAATTCTTCCACACGCCCAGCAGGGCTCTTTCAGAAGTACCGGAGTGGCCGGTGATGCTGGTGGAGACAGGCACAGAGCCCGCTGGAAGCGCGGAGCTTGTTAGCGAGGCCGCGGGAACGGGAAGCGGGCCTACATGCTAAACTCTGAATGCAATGGAGAGGACTTTGACTGTAATGTGATGATAAGTGCCTGTGGTTCTTTGACGAGAGGTGTCTTGATAAAAAGTGTTTGTAGTGAATATTATGCTGCAGTTTAGAATAGCAAAGCCAACTGAGACTCACAGAAATCTTTCACACACACCCACAAAATCACAAAGCTCCTAGAACATTTTTCTATTAATTCATAATAGCAAAGACGTCCCCCCTAGGTGGACAACATTGAGACCGATAATATGAAGGGGACAGGATCACAACCAAGAGTTCCCGTGTCTTCCCTGGGCTGCTAACCAGGCCATGGATGAAAAACCTACGTTGCCCTCATTCACCTTATTTATTCTGCACCTGGTCTTCGGGTCTCCCTTTCGTTTTAAACACAACACGGTAGCTACTTCCTAAAGCAGACAATTCCCTACAGCACAACCCGGTAGAAGAAATAAAGTAACCTATTCTTTGGGGGCAGGTTTGAGGGTGTGAAAAGACAGAACGTCACCACTGGCCTGACTTCTTATCAATGATACAGCTGAATATTGAATTATTTATCCACAACCCACGCACTGTGTAGCTCCTCAGACCTAAACAAATCTCACAGCTGAACTACACGGTTCCAGTTTCTTTGTTATTCTATAGACATGCGAGAGCGTGTGTGCGTTTCTGTACTGAAAAGCAGAGACGTGGGAAAAGCCCGACAGGACCCAGGCCTGTATGTTCCGGGGCAAGAGGAGGAACCCAGCGAACACAGACAGCCGAGCGCTTCCTTCACTGACCACCTTACGGTTTCCCCTTAACGCACTGTTTGGAATGGCAACTGCGTGTAATTCCCTATTACCCTATACACAGAACCAACACCACACAGCGTGGCTTTTCTTTCCAACAACCCATCCAGAAGAATATACAGGACATTCACGTGCTGCTGAAACCTGTCAAGATTGACAGCCCAAAGCCCAAGAGCTCTGTATGCACAGGAACAGGTGTGTGGCCAGGCAGTGGGGCAAAGCCTCCCCTCCACCTTCTCGAGCCTCCTCCTCCGCTTCCCGCTTGCAGGCCTCCCTCTGAGTTGGGAGGGAGAGCAGCCCTGGGAGAACCTTTTCTCAGGCTATTTCCTTCTGCCAGAGAAGACTGGCTCGCTCTCAAGACTGCAAGCATTTGACAACTGTAAATAGCAGTGAGCATGTCAACTCGTTTTATTCACATCCCTCGCTGGGGAATCAGAAAGCCAAGGACACACTGGTGATTTCCCTGGTTTATGGATCCCTGCTCCCCCCCAGGCCTGCAACACATTTTTGGTTCTTGTGTTCAGCAGTGTCCTGGCATCTGCAGTGTGGGAAACCTCCACTGAGCGCCAATAGCCACACAGCTTCTCCCTGTTAAAATGTGCAACTGGATTTCGCATGCGTGTTTCAAACACCATTCAAGGGGTGATTTACAGGCTACTGTCTAGCCCCACAGCTGTTTTGTCATCCCCCAGACTTAGCCGTTCACAGGAATCCACCACGCGGCTCCCCAGTACATAGTCTTCTCGTTTTCGACCTCGGCCGCCACTCTGGAGCATCCAGCACTATGCAAGACCGAGTCAGGATTCAGAAAATGTGTACTGAACAAATGAACTATCAATTATTCTTTCCACGAAATTATTAATTCACGAGAAGAGCCCATTTGATGCCTTCCTTCTGTTTACCCTACCCTCTCAAGTTTTTTTCATCAAATTAAATGAATCACTTCTGACCCATTGATATTGGCCATTTATGTATGTTAAAAACAGCACAGGCCTTGCTATTACAGACACCACCCAGGACTTTCACAGTTACAGTTCTTTCTTCAGAGGGAAAAGCAAACCGAAACACTTCTGTACATTGCAAAGTATCTTCTTGTGGCTGAATACAGACAGACTACCTGTGTCATGCAGAGAGTTACTCAGTAGCACATGACTCTGTGACCACCCTCCTCGCAAGGTCCCAACCTAGTCTAGCTTCCAAGAACCTGACATCACCCCCAAAGAGGTGAAGTCTCTGGCTTAGGGTTGGGATTAATTCAAATGCAGGTACTGATATTATCTTCTGAATATCTGATCTTAAGCTGTTGGAGGAATAGAGCAGTACTGGCGCTCGATTCGTTTCTGATTCTTTTATGGACAGTACAGCTCTTGGTACAGAGGATGGGCTCAGGAAGTTGACTGAACGTAACTCTTCTGAGCCTATGCAGAAGGAGATCACCCATGCAGTGGTCTGTGGGATGCCCTTGTACTGTGACTGAGACCTACCTTTCAAGAGAGAAAGACAAAGGAAAGGGAAGGTGTGCCTGAGAGAAATGTCCCAGGTAAAGCCTTCGCTGGAAATGGTGTTTGGGTGGATCAATTTCATCCAAATGGCTCCACATGTGTAGTTTCCATTTCAGAGGAAAGCATTTCATTAAAAATCATGTTATTAAAGACCTTAAAATCCACATCAAATTGTCTTTTGCCCTTTGCCACAACATACCAGTCTTTCCCAATGCACAGGACCTCAAGGTGCACCGGAGACACGTTCTGTGAGCTTCACTGTCCTCTCCCCACACCCCTGGCTTTGAGACAGCACGCTTCCCCCAGAAAACAACAACACAGCTTCCTCCTACGTGTTCGACCACGACACAGCAGTTGAAGAGATAGTGCGCTCCCTTCATCACAAGCCACAGTCATCATAACAAGCCATCTTTGTTAAACAGAAGTCCTTTAAGACAGGAAGACCAGTAGGAAGCTGATGAGTGTAACAGTATTCAATGATTTGCAAAGGAAAGGCCACCAAGTTCCAGAACTCAAAAAAGGCAGCTGCAAGTCTCTGGACTTACCTTTTGTTTCCCTCCTACAGTGATCTTCTTACAGATGTCACAAAAAAACATCACTCATTTACTCCCTTGAAATCTGATCATCAGACCATGTAGACAGGTTGGGCTGTCAGAGCTTAAGGTTACCTGAAGAGTATTTTTAACCCCTTACATTAAAAATACCCCCAAATTTTCCCTGGCCAGTTTGGCTTAGCAGTTAGTGTCAGCCCGTGGACCAATGAGCTGTGGGTTTGATTCTGGTCAGGGGCATGCACCTTGGTTGCAGATCGTCCCCAGCCCGGGTTGGAGTCGTGTGGGAGGCAACCCGTTGATGTGTAACTCTCACATCGATGTTTCTCTTTCTCTCTCTCCTTCCCTCCCTCCCTCCTACTCTATCTGAAGATAAATAGAAAAATACCCTCAGGTGAGGATAAAAGAAAAGAAAATACCCCCCAATTCATGCTTCTTATAAAAGGTCCCAAAGGCCAGAATTTCAATCAAAGGATGAGAATCACAGGAATGACCACTTGTGAAATACATACCATGTGTCAGATGTTGGGTTAGGCATTTCACCTAGTTCTTGCTGGTGTACCTTTCCTCATTAATCTCTCAAGGTAAACAGTCATCTTTACCCAGTTTTATATGTGAGCACAGAAAGCTAAGACTGCTCAGGAAAACACAACTAGCACTGAGAGAAGTAAGATCCAAAGCCAAGCCTTTGTCCCCAAGAGCCCCTGAACTTTCTTTCGGGTCCCCCAGTTCCTCGAGAACGCAGCAGCAGCCTCTCCCTGACCTGGGAGGTAACAGGTTACTAAGGATGTGGAAGGAACCTGGGCATCAATCAGAGCGACAGGGAGAGAGCAGATCGAAGGTCTTCTGCTTCTCCAGAATCTGCAGACCTCCCCCTCTCCTAAGCTCCCGATTCTGCACTCACCTGAGGTGAGCTGAGTCATCAAAAGGCTTCTGTTTCTAGGTGTGAGCAAAGCAATCAATGATCCCTTTGCTCACTACGCCACACCTGTAATGACCTCTCTCGGGCTCTCTCTCCCTCCCTCCCCTTCAGCTTTGGTTACATTGCCAGTGGGGAGACCCCCTCCATGGCTTCCTGTATTTCTTGAGGCTCCAAAACTAGGCTGTTACACCCTCCCCCCAAATGATGCTTTCTCAATGCCCTTCAGCTATAAAAATAAATACATAAAGGAATGAATCACTGCATTATCTCTAAATCACCTTGTGACCCAACCAGACATATTCACCCCACCCATTCACCCTTTCCATTCCCTGAATTCTGGGTAGTTAACCGACACATCTCACACCCCAAACACTTCAAAGCACACACGCGAGCGCGCACACACACACACACACACACACACTAGGATATAAGTAAGTAAACGAAGTAATAAGTGTGTCTGCTATCCCATCCTGTCTTGCTCCCAACCACAGCGAAGAAGCCCGCACCGACCCATCCCCCCACTGTGCCCTTGCCACAGCAATGCCGACAGGCGACCCACCAACCCCCGAGTCCACAACCCCTCCCAGCTCCAATTCCTGCACTGTGTCAATCCTTCCGCGTTTCTTCCTTCACTTGAACCCCCGCGCTTTGGGGCGAGCTTTTCTTCTAGAAAGAAGGACGGGCAGTGGCTCCCAGCCCACCTCACCCGCAGCGGTCACTCTGGGGGCGGCCCCTTTACCATTGGAGTCTTCCACTTCCTCGGCCGGGGCTGCCTTCTGCGAGGGGTGGTGGGTGTGGGACAGCAGGCTGACGATCCGTGGCCTGGGGAGGGTCAGGGCTTTTCCGTGGACCTTGAGGGAGTGTTCCTTTAACTGGCTGATTGTCATGGTGGAAAATGAGCACCAAGAACACTTGTAGGCATGTTCACCTGGAAGACAGGGCAAGGGGCAAGAGGAAGAAGGGGAAAGGCGGGCATGAGGGGCGGGACACGAGCATGGTTAACTCACTCCGCAGAAGCGCTTCGCAAGCGCAGGGTCGGACCCGCGAAGGCTGCCCGACCCCCGCCGGTGTCCTGCGGGAGGGAGCCTCTTGCAGGGGTTTCGTCTGACCCCGCGAAGGCTGCCCGCGCCCCCGCCGGTGTCCTGCTGCGGGAGGGAGCCTCTTGCGCCCTGGCTCCCTTTCATTTCACGCTCTACTTGCGCGGAGGAGCCTACGGCTGCCCCTCCACCGGGCCTGAAACGGACGCCGACGGTACCGCCATCAGGAAGGCTTCCCAGGCTCTTCCTCCCGCTCACACCAGGAGGGGCCGCCGTCCTAGCATCCCCAGAAAAGGCTCCCCTAAGTCTTCTTCCGGGGCCTATCCGTGGCTTTCCCCCAGCCCCCGCGCTGCTCTCCTCCTCCGCGGCTCTGCTGCCCGCTCCTGGGGTCCACACCCTACGGCGCGTTTGCGTTCCTCTGGACCAGTTCACAAACCTCAGCGTGAAAACTCCATTTCCTTATGTAATCAATGATACAGAAATGGGTAAAAAGAAGTCATTTCTTTTCAACGAGAGAGGTGTGTGTATGTGTGTGTATATATCTCCACTTTCTTCAGTAAACAGGATAGTTCAGTTAAAAGAAGTATTCTTCTTTTAAGTGCTTTTCTAGCACTGAAACATGGCACACAACACTATGACTAAATTAAATTGGGGTATGATTCACCTTTGCCCTAAGTCAGTTTTCCAACTAGTTTCGTTTTCGGAAGCGAGGGTGTGGGGTGGGCATGCTGTCTTGGTCCAAGTTTGCTTTTTATAACAACAGGCTTAGGCTGGCCATCCTGCAACGCAGTGATTCCACTTCTGAGCGTTCATGTTAAGGAAACACCCGTTAGCACATAGAAAGCTTTATTTAGAAATAAACATTTATTTATGCTTGAAAAAGATATGATACCATCTAAATTCCCAGCCACAGGGAAATGAGTAAGTAAATGGGGGCCCATCTTCTTGATGAATTACCATTTTCTTAAAGAGTTTGTGATAACAGAGAAAAATAAAATACTCAGAAGAACACATAAAAAGGCATAATATATTTTAGATTAAATTACCATCACAATTGTTAAAAATAATTATAGAGGAAATGGTTGAAAGGAGAGACGATCAAATGTGAACAAGAAGATTATGGGTGACTGGCTATATTTCTTTCATTTTCAAATTGTCTCTAACCAACATGCATTTTTAACATTTACCTTAAGGGGAAATGTGAAAACCAGGGGAGACGAAAGAGGAGGAAGCAGAGGAGGAGTAAGGTTCTGTAGTTATGCTCATTCCGTGGGCCCGTGGGCCCAGCTGAGGGGGGCAGCTGGTGGCCCCAGTTCGCCAAGTGGAGCAGAGACTGGAAGGCAAACCTCTGCCCTTGCTTGCTGAGTGGTCTACTACCCTGCCACTGAATGGTCTCACATGAGAGGGGACCCCAGCACCCCAAATTCTGCATTAAGCCTCCTTTTCACCACTGATGAACCCCAGAGCTTGCATTTCCAAGCACGTCTTGAAACTAACCTTGATTTATGCAACACGCTACAGCCCAAGGCAGAAGACATTCAAAGGAGTCAGAGGATCCCAATCTGTCAGCTGCCCCTCAACCACTCCCTAGGAGTTACAGGGTAATGCTGGGCCATGTACAATGGGGCTAATATTACAGATAGTAGTAATATAATATATACACGTATACATATTACATATGCATATATTACATGTACAGGGTGGGGCAAAAGCAGGTTTCCAGTTGTGAGTATACGGAACAGTTTATTCTTTATTATTTATTAATGATTTTCCTTATGGAGAATGGACTGGCTTTTTCTAAGCCTAGCCACCGTCAGCAGCTGAGGGCCCTCCGTGGACACCAAGATTGCAAGGTGCTCGGAGAGCTGAACTGCACTGCTCCCACTGTCCCCTCTGGATGTTTCCTTCTCCCCAACCCGAGCAGAGGCCCATTGGCCCGGCCAGCTCCGAGAACGTACTCTTAGCTCAGCGCCCTGGAGCCAGTGCGCAGCCTCTGGCTCTCCTTCAAAGCCTTTCCTACAGGCCAAATCATTTACCCGACTCCCACCGTGAGAAGTGCTTCTGACAAGGCTGAGGCCTATGGGAAAAACACGGGGATGGTGTCCCAGCTGAGTATTTTACAGTGTACAGTTAGAAAAGAATGGCTTGAACCCCGAAGCCTCTTACTCCATGAACTTCAGTGGAATTTTCCTGGAGATATAAAAATACTAAGAGAGAGAGAAAAGCCCATTTGGCTAATCTCCCTGTCCCCTCCCCCACCTCTGGGGGGCCACGGCATCTGGAAGACTTCAGTCATTTTACTGCGGTCACTCAGTTCAGCAGGATCCAATGCTCAGGGGACAACAAAGAGACAAGATCGCCCTTCCACAGGGAATGAGGAGATGGCAAAGAGGAAGGAAGGACTCAGGTTTTGGGTGGGTTTTATAACCACACAAGGGAAGCTAATCAATGAGAGGAATTCTAGCTGTCTGCAAATTTTCAAAGTAGGATCTAAATACCTCTGCTGAGGCAACTCAGGGAGGAGATTCCATTTCTAAAAGAATCTAACAGTACAGCCTGGCATCCTGAGGCCTCATTTCCCCAATTTCCCTTTGGGTTGATGTGAGTTCCTCTAAGGGGGTCACACCTCTAAGAGGGCCATGGCTGAGTTGGGGTTGAGAGTGACTGAGAAGGTCGTAAGAAGCCCCCAGTCCCCTCCCCGCTGCCTTTCCTACATCACGCCTCCTTTCTCTCCAGGTTGAGTTCTGATGACCTACCGTGGGCATCCGCTATCACATGCAAAGTGCAGAAAAGCAGAAAAAAGAGAGGCGGCATCTTGTCAGTGACAAGCACGTGTTTGTTCTGGAGTCAGATTCTTCGTGAGTGGGCTGCATGGCTTTGAGCAGGTCATCTGAAACTGAGTGTGACAACACCTACCCTTCGGGATTGTCATGAAGACTAAATGAGATGATGAACGGCACATGTTTGGGGTAGAGCCCTGCAGGGAGGGGTGTTCATGAGGGAAGCACCATCAGCCGAACGACGCAGCGATGGAGACCGGCGTGGCTCCAGGACACCCATGACCCAAAGTCATCTCTTATCTCGTGTCCGGAAATATAATGAAGGCATCCCATAAAAGTCTTACTACTTGTTTCTTTGTTGCTTTAACTTCCTCAAGATTATAATGTTATTTTAGTTGGGGATTATCTTTAGTAGATGTAACAATTCTTGCCTTTCCATTAGAAAGGCAAGAGAATCTAGAAATTTCTCTTCACACACAAAAGCTGTTAGCACGAATTAACTGTGATGCAGCTGACATGGGCTTGGTGGTATTTTGGCTTTGGGCGATTCCTTAATATTCTTTTATTAGATTAAAACAAAACTAAACATACAAACCATCTCAAGAACAATTTATTCTCACATGTAGGATAAGAAACTTTTAAAATTTCACTCAGTGAAGACCACTGGATTTTAAACTCAGAGAACTTGTATATCACAAATGCCAACTCACCAGCATGAGCTTTGAGTATGTGTGTTTTCAGCCGGCTGTTATAGGAGGACTTGAAGGAGCAGAGTTTGCATCGGAATGGTTTATGGTGTCCGTGGTGGGTTTGCATATGGCGATCCAAACTGGATAGAGAATGAAAAAGAAACAAAAAACCGGCAGGATTAAAAACTGCATGCAACATTTTCTCATTGCCCTTTTCTAGAAATCCCATTTCTAAGCTGTTCGAAGTCATTTTGCTACTTTCCAATGATGCTGCTTACAAAAAAAAAAAAAAAGGCAAGAGTCCTACCGACTCTAAAAGGAGGGAAGCTAAAGGAAGGAGGAGATAATACATAAGTAAGGAAGGAAGGTTTCAAAGTGGCCAAACTACTTGCAATGAGCTGTCTATTTCCAAAGTCTTTGTAAACCGGCAGGTGTAGTTACAGGAAGTCACGTGATCCAAAGGTCGGGCATCCCTCTGATAAACACAATGTTTGCTGTACATCTGTCTTCCAGAAGCAACTTATAAGGACGTTATCTAATTATAATGCATTCCCAGTACTTCATAATTACTAGTCTAAAAATAATAATAAATCTGCCAAACAAGGTGTGGGAAGAAGTCCTAATTTGGATCACTACCCCAGAGAACTGGAGTCCACGGTAAAGGACTCATTTGGGAATGGTACTGCTTACCATGAAAGCATACTCTGTTCGGAACACCAAGGCAGCTCTTTCTGTTGCCTCTGAATGCCCTTTAACTATCTTCCTTTTTTTAATCCTCACCAAGGATATTTTTCCATTGAGTTTTAGAAAGAATGGGAGGGAGGGAGGGACGGAGAGAGGGAGAGAAACATTGATGTAAGAGACACATCAATTGGTTGCCTCCTGAACACCGGGATCGAACCTGCAATCCAGGTATGTGCCCTTGATCGGGAATCCAACCCAAGACCCTTCGTTCTGCAGGCCAATGCTCTAACCACTGAACCAAACCAGCCAGGGGCCTTTAGCTACCTTTTCATTTCCTAGTTTCTATAAGGGGCACTCCCGTTCTCTCAGCCAATCAGACTGAAAACCTGCATGGCGTTCGTCCTCTGTTCCTCGTCCTTTGTATTAAGTCCATTTTTCCAAGTCAGACAAATCCCAGCTCCCTCACCACTCCCAAAGTTCCATCCTCACTTCCTGGATCAGCTACTATCACTGCCTCCTGATTGGTCTCCCCAGCTACTTTTTTCTCAACTCAAGAGCATGAGCCATGAAGTCAGACTGCCTGGGATCAAATCCCAGCTATGACTTCTAAGCGATAAGGTCTTGGGCAAATTATATAAGCTCTCTATACTCAAAGGCCTCAACTTTTCTTATAAAATGGAGATAATAATAGGACCATACCTCACAGCGCTGTTCTGAGAGTAAAGTGAGATCATACATCAAAGTCCTTAGTACACGGTGATGCTCAATAAATGTTAGCACTTGCGGGGACTTGACTCATCTGAGTCTTCCTTTACCAGTAATGTAAATTATAAAGTACTAATTCTGCATTCAAAGTCTCCAAAGATGGTCTCTGCTTAAGCACTCAGACTTTATCTTCCAGTGTTCCTTTACATAGAATCTACAGATCAGTCAAACTGGACGACCACACTCTTCCCCAGGCTTGTGCTCCCAGGCTTGTCCTCCACATCACCCATCTTTTCCAAACGATTCAAGTCCCATCTTTCCACTTTAAAACTTGACTCAAATGCTCCCTACTCCATAAAACCTTCCTGATTCTTCCAAAGTGACGTAACCCTTCCCCTTCAATGAAACGTCATAGCATTTCACTGATATCAATTTTTTTAAAGACATGCGCCTTCTCATGCCAAGTATCCAACTAGATCCCAACTCCCCTTGAACCCTGACCATGTCCTACGCGTCTTTACATTCCCTCAAAGCCTCCCGCACTCTGCCTAGCACACAGCGTATTCATCTATTCACAATGATTTATCGAGGTTCTACTGTGTGTCAGAAAACGTGATAGATGCTGTTAAAAAAACACTTAGTGAATTGATAAGAACAGCACAAGGTTCAGGCCAGTGCCTGGATCTGAGGCAAAGATTAGATATTTGGCTGTGAATAATAATAATAGCTTGTGACCCATCCTAACCTCAGCAGAAGCATCGCCTCCTCCCTCCTTTCCACATCCACTAACTAGCACTTTATCTTTTTAAAGAACCAAACAGCCCATCGTCTACTTCCAATTATCATAAAAATAAACAGCATGCTAGTCTTACAATCAGTCACCTTCATCCAAGACCTTAGAACACATTATCAAACACTTCTCTCTTGTATGCATATGATAGAGAAAGGCAACCCAAGGTTGTTTCTCCTCAGAACCATCCCTCTTCTCATCACCCCGAAAAGCCTTACACAAAAGACCCAAATTTACCATTTCTAAGCCGTAATGAACATGGGAAGCTCCGGCTCCTCAACCGCCCAAACTTGAAGGATCTCTTATTCCATCAACTTACCCACCGTTCAAGGTCTTTTTTAAAATATCAAGCAATGGTTCTTCGGTCAAATGGGTTAGTAGTCCCACTTTTACTTTCTAGTCGCTCACCTTCCCAAAGGGAACTTACTCCTCAAATGATTAAGCTCTGTTTGAATGTCTCACAGATGTACTGGTAAGTAAACGTATGTACTCTCTGAACTTTCTTTGTATAAATCATAACCAGAACCGTCATTAAAAAAAAAAAACCTGCCTGCATTCGTCCAATCTGGTATCAACCAAGCAATCTCCCGTTCTTAGTCCCATTTGACAGATGAAGTTCAAGGAAACAGCCAACTAGACAGCAGGAGTGAAGCATGAGCCGCACCTGCTCACCCCTCTAAGCTCCTCCCACTCTCAGCTGCCTTCTGCTGTGATGCCTCCCCAGGTACCACCTGCGACCACCCGATAGCACTTACTTGTGCCTGAAAGCAGAAACAAAGGAGCAATACTGGCAGCTGTACTTGTCCTCGCGGGTAAACATGGCCAGGGCCAGATGGCTCCTCTCATGAGAACGCAGCCCCTGCATGGACATCAGGACTCGGTCACATTGACTACAATGGTATCCCCCCGGCCGGGTTTCATCCTCCAACATTCCATCAAGCAAGCAGTGTTCACCATCCACCCGGTCCACCAGGGTGCCACTTGCATCTTTGGCTGCTTCCAATCCATCCAGGAACAAGTGGGGAGTGTCTTCGGCCTCCTGCTAAGAGAACCACACACACACACATGCCCCACCAACAAAATAAATATCCGTCGTCATTTGCCCCTGCTCTCCTCCTCTCCCTTCCTTCTCCCACACTCATCAGCGTTTCCTGACAGCTTCCTTCCCTGCGTCTCCGGCTCCCCCTAGAGGGACGGCAACCCCGACGGCCCTTCATCATGCGGTGATGGCGGGTGATGGTGGTTTTAGGGCAATGTGTCCAGACACAGGTGCTACTGCCTGGGAAATGTCGAGAGAGGAGTTCCCCCACTTTGAAGATGGTTCACTCACTTAGCTCCCGTCTTAAAAAAAAAAAGAAAATTCAAATTGCGGATCTCACCTAAACTGACATAAAGCAGGATTAGGATATGGCTCAGAGGGAAAAAAAAAAAAAAGAAGGAAAGGAACCAAGCCGAGTAGTTTGGGCATCGCTGGGAAATAAAGGAGAGTGAAAGATTCTGCCCACTGCCGCCCATGTTCATCCCCACCCCAAAGACGGTGGCTTCAGCCCTTTCCTGAAGGTTGCTGTATAATCAATCCAAAGAATTAAGCAGCAGCCCAGTTTTAAGTCACTCATGTGTCGAGGTGGCTCCTTGGGTTACTGATTACAGGAAGGACCGCTTGGTCTCCCCTGAGTGAGTCCATGGCTGAGACACCCCGCAGTGGAAGATGGTGAGCACCACAGCCCCTGGGTGCCCCGCTCTGCCGACAGCCAGGCAGCGTGTCTTCAGAGGAGAGCAGATCACCTCCACGCCACACTGGCAGGACAGGACAAGAGCAAACAGGGCTGATGACGAAAACAGATTCCCACATCCAGAGACGAAGAGCAGAGCCCTGAACTAACTCCTCTGCTCAGACATGACAAGTGCTTAGATGTGTCCTGGAAGGCGGGGATGGTGGCATGGTGATCGAAACCGTAGCCGCTATTGGGATTATGATGTTCAAAACAGGCGGCCTATGAAAGGTTGGGGGAACAGGAAAGGCCCTTTGTCAGTAACACATGGGGGAGAGGAGGGGAGACAAATCAGGTCAACAGGCCCTCAGGGCCAACTGGGACTCCAGGCTTTGAGTTTTAGGTTTAATGTCTCTTCTGCTCCTCAGAGAACCCAGGATGAGAAGCAAAAGATGGATTCTCCCAGGCTCTCTGCACCGCCAGCCCGCCAGCCGGATGAGAAAGAACAACAGTAAGAAGTCAGGCAGTGGGAGGAGCCCAAGACGACGGGAACCGAACCCACTTGATTCCTCTCAAGAGCCTGGGCCACTCGGAAGAGCAAACACCTAACGCACTAAATGCAGGAGAGGAGGGCGACCCAAAGCCTCCTCTCAGAGAGGCCCAGATCTTCCATTTCCACCAAACTATCCACATGGAAGGGAACCAGATGGAAACGCGACCAGGTCGAGACACGAGAGATGAGGGAGGTCCAACCTGCAAAGAAATCAAAACAAGCCAGACGGATCCAAGCAGAACTCAGCAATGCGCACACCCCGGGACGTCCTTTCCTGAGCGGCTCTGAGCAACGGGGTTAACGAGTAACTCGAACGGCTCACACACGAGAACGCTCATCCAGACCTTCCCGGTTCTCACCTTCACGGCGGACACGGCGGGGACGCTGCCGTACTGGACGTGCTTCCGCAGGTGATTGCAGATGGCTCGGAGCGTCGGGTGCACTTCCACACAGAACTTACACTTGTAGCCCACCACCTTCCTCTCCTTGATCTTTGGCACCTCTTCTAAGTGACCAAAAGGCTGGTAAAATACAGTGGTAGCCATCAGTACTCCGAGCCCTCCCTCAACGGCCGGCATTTATTCTTGTCGCTTACGGGCCAGTTTTATTTTAAAGCCGATTAGCAGGTTAAGGAACCAAGGGAGAGAACGTGAGTGTTTTTACAGCACGGATGCGTCAGAGCCGTGGCACACTGCCCACGGCGCAGAGTCTCCGGAACCCAAGTGCTTTACGACTTGTGAGAAGACGTCTGTGCGGGAGCCTCGGCACTGCCAAGTTATCTGGTTTGCACACCCATTTCAGCTACGCAGGTGGAATGTTGCATAGCTGTGCCATTAGTGAGCTTCTTGACACACACACTCACAATTCTACTCCTCGAGATGTTAGGTTCATGTAGCAACACGGCAGACCGAGACATGGCTGAGAAGCACTAGTGAGACCGAGAGACAACCCAGTTGGCCTTAGGGAAGACAGTGAGCTGTCATGGACCTAGGCCTCGGAAAAGGCTACTTGGCAGAGAGAAATACAGAGAAACCACCCCAACCCTCCCCTGGGGAGCCTCGGGAGGAGTGAGAGGGAGGGGCACGGGACCGTGGAGAAGAATAAGCATAGAATGGGGATAATCAAGCTCGAAATGTTTAATTGACTTATTGAGCTCTCTGGCACGCTAAGTCACTGGGAAGCCTGTAGCAGTTTGGCTGGCAACGAAGAGGTGCATGTGGGCACCAGCGCTGAGAGGCCTCCTGGGGGAAGGGAAATCAAAACATATCCTTACCCTCTCTTGTTTGAAATCTGCAAAAGCACCATCTGCATATTTCTGCTTGCTCAAAAGCTGTTTCCTCCTCTCCTGACGTTTGGCACGCTTCTGGAATTCCTCATTGTGAACGTTCAAGTGTGAGGTCAGCTCTGCCGTGCTCTGCAGTTTGCTATCGCAGTGCTTACACTGGTAGGCGGAGTTCTGCAGGCGGGGGCCGGTGCCCAGGATGACGAAGTCCCTTCTCAGGTCCCGGCTGTGGTGGTCAGTGTAATGCATGCACAGCAGCTCAGCGGTGCTGAAGGAGAGCTTGAAGCATTTGATGCAGCGGAACGGGAGCCACTCCAGCTCCTGGGCTTCACCTCCTCCCTCCACCTCGGCTTTCTCAAAGCTGCCTCTCTCTTCCTCTTCCAGCAGCATCGGCTTCTCGTGCTCATCCGCGTAGACGGCAGTGAAGTAGCCGCCCAGCTTGCTGGCGTGCTGCTTCTTGGGGAACACCCCCGGGTGGCGCTTCATGTAATGGGACACAATGCCCTTCTTGCTGAAGGACTGGAAGGCGCACAGGGAGCACTTTTTCTTCTCCACCGCCCGCCGGAGCTCCTCGCTGAGCTGCGGGGAGTCGTCCTTGGGCGGGGACGGGATGATGACCTTGTTGGGCTTGTCGCTGATGGTCCTGGAGGCTGCCAGGCAGTGGGTGTAATAGGCATCGATGTCGTGGCGCTTCTGGTAGTGGGCGGCCAGCCCTTTGCGGATGGGGTTGGTGTAGGAGCACAGAGCGCACCTGAAGAGGTTGTTCTTGCCCTCGGGCTGGGCTCGGACGTTGTTGTGCTTGATGCGGTAGTGCCTGGCAATGCCCTTCCTCGTGGAGCAGAAGTACTTGCAGAGCTGGCACCGGAACACAGTGTGGGCGACCAGCTGCGAGGTAGCGAAGGGAGAGGTGGGCACCGGCTCCTCTCCCACCTCCTCCTCGGTGAGGGAGACTTGGGAGGGGCTCTCTTCAGTGGTTATCTCAGGCTCGAGGGACACCGGCAGCTTCGGGGGTGACTGGGAAAAGACATCAAATTCAGGCTGGTTGTGATACTTCTCGTAGTGAATTCTGAGCTTCTCCAGCGTGCCGTGTGTGTACGGACACAGCTTGCAGCGGTAGGCGCCGAACCCCTGCCTGAAGATCCTGCTGGTCTCTTCCACGTCGTTCTGGGCTATGTCGGCGGACTGCTCCACGTCATGCACGAAGTCCTCGGCGGTCACCTTGATGGACGGGTGTCGCTTCTGGTAGTGGGTCAGGACGCCGTGGATGCGGGTGTTGATGTAGGGGCAGTGCCTGCACTTGTACACAGCCCCTGGGTTGATGTCGATGTCCTGGGCGAAGTCAGCAGCCTTCACTTTCATGCCGGGGTGCTTCTTCCCATAATGGGTAAGGAGGCCGTGGAGGTTGTTATACTCAGACTGGCACACTGTGCACTGGTATGGGGTGGAGGAGATGGCGGGGTTGGCCGAGGACAGCTGGATACTTTTCTCTGGGGAGAGCCTGGCATCCTCGAGGCATTCCGCTTCCTGCTCAGGGAGGGGAGCGGGCATACTGCTTTCGCAACTCACGGGGCCCACCAGCTCTTCGGACGAAGAGATGGGATTCTCAGCGTCTTTCTCCTTGATGATGTCCAGCAGCACCGACTCATCACCATTCATGGCCCAGGGATGGAACGCTTGGTAGTGATTGGTGATGTCCCAGATGGAGACGGCTTCAAAAACACAGTCTCGGCATCGGTACGTTTTGGCTTCAGCTGGCATCATGAGAGAGGGAGGGGATGGGTCCGGCCCCGCCCAGAGTTTGGTAGCCATGTAAGTATAGTCCACGTAATGCTCTGGGTGCCTCCTTTGGTAATGCAGGAGCAAACCGCTGGGCTCCGTGTGGGAATAGATGCACCACTCGCAGTGGTAGCCAGCTTCTATCAAGCCATCCAGAAATGCCCACCGCATGATGGACGTGACCGTGGCCTTCAGGGCAGGGTGGTCTTTCTTGGTATGCTTCCTCAGTGCATAGAAGTAGGGGGAGGTGTACGAGCACTGCCTACACTTCAGTGCCCGCAGCTTCGTTTTGTCCCGCTCTACACCCGAGGGGGCGACGAGCATGCAACCGGCAGGCTTCTTCTGGTTCCGGTCACAGAGGCTGCGGATGGTGGCCGTGTGCTGCCGGATCACGTCGGCGTTGGCCTTGAAGTCCCGGTGCTTCTTCTGGTAGTGAATGAGTACCCCTTTGACCGTCCGGTTCCCATAATCACAGTGCTGGCAAAAGAACATCTCATTCTCCACAGGGGGGCCATCTCTCTCGGAACAGCTTCGGTTCAGCGGTTGCATGGGGGCGGGTGGCCGAGGGGAGCCTTGGGGTCCCTCGGCCCCTCTCATCATTGCAGCTGTGGGAGGAGCCTGCCTGATATATTTGGCAGTAACCTTTATCTCTGGGTGTCTTTTCTGGTAGTGGACAAGCACGCCCACAACTGACCGATTGCTGTAGGAACAGTGTTTGCAGTAGTAAAGCTCAGTACTGAGGTCTGGTGGCGGGGGTTGTGGGGGGGGTGGGGAACCCATGTTGGACATTTTGGGAGACATTGGAGCACCCACCTCAAATGATAATTGAGAAAGGGCAGAGCCCCTGTCCACAGACACCATTCGCATGGTTTTCTGGATCCTAAAGTAGGAAGCCTTTTCTTCAGGGTGTTTCTTCTGATAATGAACCAAGACAGAATGCATGTTGGGGCTTGCGAACGAGCAAACGTCACAGTCGTACACGACCACGGTGTTCACAGAGGGGTCCTTCTGATTTTCACATTCTGGAGTGAAGGTCTTTGAAGGAGTGTTTTTGTTAAACGTGGCTGGCAGACCACCGCCGCGAGCCACGGGAGTGGACGTCGCCATGTTCTTGGGCGCCGAATTCAGAATCTCCCGCAGCGTCTGGGACTCCGTGTTCAGCCCTTCCTGCTGCTCCACGACATAGCTTGAAAATATCATGGCGTTGTTAATCTTCACCGTGGGATGCATTCTTTGGTAGTGTGGCATCAGGCTTCTAACATTCGGGCTCGTGTAGGAACAAAACCGACACCGGTAGATCAGGTCCGAGTGGTCAAAGTTGAGGACATTCATGGCTTCTGGGTGGTGTTCCCCGTAATGCTGCTGCAGATCTTCAAAGTTGGTGTAGTCGATGTAGCATTCCAGGCACCTGTACACCGCACTGTGATCGTTGGGGTCCAAGATGTACCTAAAGCTGAATTTAATGTACGGGTGCATTCGCTGATAGTGGGTGCTCACACTCCGGGCAGATTTGTTGTTAAAGTCACAGTGTTTGCAATAGTAAAGCCGTCCAGAGTCACTAAAGTCTGTGTTTTCACTATTGTGCTCGGTTCCATAGAGAGGAGCCTGGGCGTTCAGCAGAGCCGTACTGGAAACTTGGTGATCTTTCAAATTTGTGGAGGAGCCGTAATAATCCTCTTCATCTTCAGAAAGGGTGAGCTCAATCTCAGCCCCATTGGTGGCGTTGTAATCGTGGGTGACATTTCTGAAGTTGGGCTCCTTCTGGGGCTCACTGGCATCTCTCACCCAAATCTGCTGGGCTGAGAAGGGCGTGGGCACCTCCATGACTGGCTCTGCGGGCTCTTCTTCCCGGTCCAACTCAACCTCTATCTCGACTTCATTGTCTTCCTCTTCCTCCTCGTCATCCTCGACATTGATCACCGCATCCTCCTGCTGTTTGGTCTGGTTAATTTTGCTCTGCAGGTTGCTTGCGATCTCATCAATCCTAGTCCTCTTCTTCACGGGCGATAAATCTAAAGGGAAGTCATTAGCGAGCTTCCTGGAGGCCTTAGCTACAAAATTGTTCTTGGAGGACAACCCAAGAATTGAGGTCTGACTTTTCTTCACAGTGTTGCTGGAAGAGGGGTGGCTGTCCGTCTCACTTTCCAATGGTAGGCTGGAGGGCTGCCCCTCGAATTTTGGCAAGTTATCGCAGAACGAGTGTTTGTGCTGCTGATGGACTCTTAGCCCTTTCAGAGTCGTGGTGGAATAATTACACATGGTGCATTTGTATGGGTGCAGAGGTGGGGCTTGCACGGGGGGCTGTGGTTGCTGCGTCGGCGGGGGCTGGGGCTGGGACGGCAACGGATGTGGTGGCTGTAGCTGTGGCGGTTGAGGCTGTGATGGAGGTGGTGGTGGCGGCGGTGGCGGTGGCGGTGGCTGTTGCTGCTGCTGCAAAGAATCCAACATAACTCCTGACTTCCTACCATTGATGCTTGAGCTCTCGTAAGACACGACACCTTCATTCAGTGAGGAAGAAATGCTTTCACTCTGGGAATTCACAGCATCCCAATCTGACGTTGTACCCGTGTGACACTGTTTGTGAGCCCCCAGTTTTAATGAGCTCTTGCAAGTAAACGGACATTCGTCACATTTGTAGACAGCTGTCTTTCCAGATAAGTGAATGTTTTCTATGTGGCGGGAGATACTGCGTCGATGCATGGTGAGGAAAGGGCAAAAGGGGCACTGGAACCTGTTCATAAATCGTCTAAAGGGAATCCCCTTGGTCTCCAATAATTTGTTGCCATCCGAGCCCATCAGCTGCTCCGCAGACATGCCTGATGTCTGGTGATCCATGGCGTTTAGACCATTCTCACTGTCTATTTCATTGAGCTCTTCATCAGAACTAGAGTCATTCAGCATGCTGTTCGTTTCCAGGTCGGCAGGAGAATTGGTCATGTCAGCCATTCCGTAACGGGATCTCTCTGCCAAGTTAACAAGGCCAGAATTGTGAGGTGACTTCGGCTTCATCTGAGGGTAAGACATGGGCGAAAACTTGGAAGCTGAAGAAGAATTGGGTCTCATGATGGAGTTGCTGATGGAGCCCCTGAAGTTGGAGACGTTGGCATTGGGCATCTCCCGGCTTGCAGCATTCATGGACAAATAGGTGGAGTTGGAAGTGGGGCTGGAGGCGCTCTTGTTCTGCGCGTCGGGTAGATTCGTACCTTCCTGCTGCTGTCTGAGACTGGAGAGGATCTTGACCATACTGCGGTGCTTCTTCATCATGTGGTCACACCAGCGTTCTCGGCGCGGGGTCTGGTAGCTGCACCACTCACAGCAAAAGTTGCCTCGAGACTTGGTCAAAGGCTTGACCATAGATTCTAAGATGCTGCGCTCCACGACCTCTGCAGGCAGTTCCTTGCAGGGGTCCTGCAGGGACACGGGCGGGACCACAGGGTCTGGCAGGGGAGCAGGGGCAGGAGGGGGAGCAGCGATCTCCTTCAAATTGTTTTTATGATACATCTTCTGATGCTTCATTATTCTCGCCCTCCTTGGTGACTTGTATGTGCAAAACTGGCAAGAGAAGACCTTTCCAAATCCCTCATGCATCATGATATTATAATTGAAGGACCCCGGGGCAGGGGGTCCCGCCGAACTCCCTTCAGCTTGAGCCCCGTGGACCTTCCTAGTGTGTTCAATGAGGAGGTTTTTTGACCTGAAGTAGCGTACGCAGAACTTGCATTGAAAAAACTTGTTTGTTGGTTTGGGACTAGGGGCAATGTGCTGACCATAATATCCTGGACTGTGGCCATAGTAACTTCCGGTCCCCAATGCCGTTGCATTTTGACCTAAAAAGAAAACATCAGGTAAGTGGGATAAGAAGAAAAGCAAAGCAAACGAGAATTAAGAGTTCAATCATGTAAATCAATTTTTCTTTTCAATTATTCTTCATTAATAAACATCACACTGAAAAGGTCTAACAGCTCAAGATGAGGCCCTGAAGAATATTAATGAAGCATTAATGAACATACGGATATTGCTTCTCACGGACATAAGAAGCAGGTGTTCAGCTCTAGGTACAAGTCTCAAATCCTCTCCATCAATGTGCCCTATAGCTCTGAGAGCACAAGTTCCACCAACCACAATCACCATTCTAGAACTTTCAGAGGTACGACCTTGTCTTCCAAATGGAAAGGAAACTAAGAGTCACAAGGAAGCTGAGAGGACAATAGCCAAGGAACTCAAGAGAAACATGATGCCCAAGAACCAAGGCCACTGGCTAAAAAAAGATGAAAGCAATGAAATATATCAGATATGCAAATGAGTTTAGTCTAGATTTACCTGATAAATCCTCTGCAATCACAAATTCATCCTTTATCGACGAAAACTCCACCTCAGTCTGATTACTGGCATTCATGGACCCGGATCGTGGATCATTAGCACTGTCTTCGGCAACATCAGTTGGCTGCAGAAATGCCGTGTGGACATCCTGAATGTGCGCCTTGAGATCTTCGTAAGATGGGGCCCTGAAGTCACAGCCATCACACTGGAGCACCTCCATGATCGGGGTCTACCCTCTCACATTAGGGACCTGTGGCAGGAGTCACAACAAGACATCTTAAAGAATAAAGGAAATGCACACCCCACGTTGATGGGGCTGGAAGTCGTTATTGGAAACAATTCTAACATCAGCAGATTTCTCTTACTAAACTCTACCAGCCGGAACACTTGCTGGCTTGATAGAAATAAATCTTCAAATGTCATCTGTCAAGAAAACTTCCAAAATTTTAGGAGTTTTTGAATTTCTTGACCAAATTCAAATTTCTTGGTGAGTTCATTCCGACTGTGGTTCTGGTTTGGACCTGTTTTCTCTTTTGAACTAGAACTTTCTCAGAAGTACAGAGATGCCCATCCAGAAGAAAGAAAAAATTTTAGTCTTCATTTGCCTTTTTAATATTGTAATATGGCTGTTTTATCACTAAATTGTGAAACAGTACTGAATCCCAGAGTGGTGCTGGAGACAGCTTTTACTGTTCCTTTTATTATTCTAATCTTAATAATTTTAAGAAATAAAAACTTTTAAAATAATTTTATTATTTTAATTTAACATCTTAACTAATATTGGGATACACCTCTTTCTTCCCCTCCCCAAACACTTTAGTTGAATTTTTTTTCTCAGGAGCTAAATGGTTATTTGCTTTTTACTACCCACCAATTATAACCTAACAGCTTCTCCCATCTAATTAGGTCATAAAATATTTCTCATGAGGTTCTCAAACAACCAACTTTAAGAAGATGATCCAGTTTCTTGTTCAACGTGGCACCCTGGTACCTCAGTTAACATGAAGGCAACTGACACTCCCAGTCTTGAAAAGGGGCCTCTAAGTTATTACCTTTTTTTAAAAAATCTTTTCCTATTTCTCTCCTTTACTAATGTAAAGTACACACTTGAGGAGGGGGAAAAAAAAAAGCTGTGAACCTGGTGTGGAATGGAATAAAAACTTGCTCAGCTACCTTCATTCTGCTATTTACTAAGGGATAAAATATACAGATAACGCCCCACGAACTCAATGGAGAGTCCCACCATTAAGAAGTTAAAAATGTGAGAGGTATGGTCCTTCCTATCTTAACATATATTCTGAGTTGAGACACCCAGTTGTTATCTTAATGAGTGAGCTACTTCATTGAGCTCACTCACCGCAAACTCTACTGAGTCACAGTAATCTAGAACCAGATGTCCAAGAACTAACAAATCTTTCCATACTTTTATTGCGGGGCAACTTTCTCTACTTTCCTTGGAAAAGATAAATTATTCCTGCAGGAGAACAATGTCTAGCTATGTGTCCACGCCGTGAACGAAGCCATTGCAGGAGGACTGTCTATAGCAAAGAATGCCCCTGCTGATAGCCTACTAAAATAACTCCTGGCAAGTCCAGCTCTGGACAGACGGAGCTTGCAGAGTGAGACGCGGGTATTCACCTCCTCTTCTTTCCCCGGGCAAGTTATCCTTTTTCAATAAACATTGAACTGTGCACCAGAGTCTTTTCAGCTAACTAAGTCTCAATATTCCTGATACACAAGCTTTCATGTCTTAAGCACCAACCCAAATTGTGTGGAAGACGGTTGCTATCAGCTCTGGATCAGATTACAGCAGTCACCGAGGCCCCACCCCACTTCTTTCGCACAGTCCATTAGACCTGAAAACAAATTTTTCCATGGTGCACACGACTCCTGCATTTAGAACACTTCACAGGGAAGAAAGAAAAAAAAAGCAGATCATCCAGTGTGCACTCCCCATCCCCCAAGCTTAGTCCTTTCATCTCAGCCAAACAAGCCCCAGCTCTGCTGAATGTGTTTATCACACTTTCAAGAGATAGGAGCTCCTGCGTCACTGGAGCTCAGACCCGCTGAGCTGCCCTCGTCCTGGGCTTCAGCGCAGCCATTTTAGCTCCGAGCACAACATGGCTTCTCGGGGGCTCGGCCGGGCTGCCGGGCGGCAGTGAGCCTCCAAGAGCAGCCTGGGCTCCTCCTAGGCTCTTCTCCTCCCAACAAAGAACGGGCTGTTTTCATTCCTCTCCGAAAAGCTGCACCTCTCTCTTCCTCAAATGTCATGCGTGCACCAAGATCTCCGAAGGTTCTATTATCCCTTGATTGATGGGCTTGCCCATTAGTCCCAGCAGAGCCCTGGGTATAACAGGACGACCCTGGACCAGACCCTGGGCTCCAGCAGGATTTGGGGGTGGGGTGGGGGAACCTCCAGAATGCCTTGGCTTCTTGGGAGTCGTCCTTCCACACACGCAGAAGACATACCATCCGACTCTGCTTGCCAGATTCCAAAGTCTAATGACCTTTGTTAATCACCAGCCAGTCTGTCTGCATCAGCAGACCCTGCCAACAGACACACCCTTCCACACAAAGGCTGTAGCTATTCCTTTTAAAAGAGGTTCTCTGAAAGCTCCATTGTGTAGCTCGGAGGAAAACAAAATCTCTTCCCTTCGAAACTTCAAGCCTTTAGAAATAACGCAACAAAAGCCTTTCTGCTGTGTGTCTTGTGGAAAGTTGGAGCCCGGTTTGCACAACATCAACAACAATGACGGTTCTGCACCAGGAAAGCAGGGCACCTTCGGCGTTAAGTCGTCCACCCGAGATGAAATTCATCTCTCTGTGCAGTCCTCCAACACCTTGGTGTCTTCGGAAGCTGTTAAGGATTCTAACTTCTCTGGATGCAGACACACACCAACAGTCTCCTTGTTCTGCTTCAAAGGAGATCGAAGGGTTATGAGATCAGAAAGGGAAAAAATAAAAAGCCACTGATTTGGAAAAACAAGAGATGATGAAAGTGATTTCCTAATGGGTTCTAGCTTTAATGTTGTTGCAGCCTCTACCTCAAAAATAGCGCAGAGCCTTAGAAGAGGGTAATCTCCAGGCTGTGGGAGAACCAGCCTGGGTGCAGCTGAGTGGCCTCCACTCAGATGTCTGCACCAAGTAGAGATGAGGATGTCGCCCCCTTTGAAAGCCATTTTGTCTTTGTGTACACATTTCTCCTGAAGACGCTGACAGAAGAAGAAATTGCCAGCATGGCCCAAACAATCAAAGAAGCAGAAACCTGGTGTCTTTATGAGACTGAGAATGTACCCATGAGCAAGGAGGCAGAGGAGGAGGAGAAGGGAGTAGGGGAGGGGAGAGACAATGAAAACTGGACCTGAGGACGACCCATCCATCAACCGCAGGATGTTTTTGCAGCAGATGGTAATCCTCTGAGAAACCAACGACAAGGAGGAAAACGAGGAGAAATAAGCCTGCCTAACTGACTGCTTCATCTACCCAGGAGGAAGCAACCCTGAGAGGCTCAACTGGACTCATCTGCGACAAAATTAGGATTTAAAATCAAAAGCCTTGATCTTGTATCTCCTCACATCCTTTAAAAATATGGTGATAATAAGATTAGCAATACTTTTTTCCCCTTCACTGACCAAAAACAGAAGAAGCTTCTAAATTAAGTAAAAATAAATGCTATTTCAAAAGGTCATGAGATGACTCTACAAATCAAACAGGCACCATCCCCATCTCCTACGCCCAAAACAGTACTTCCATCGGGTAACTAGACTCTGAACTCCACCCGTGATAACACAACACCAGCTACGTGAAAATGTGGATTCATCTCCAATAACTTCACATTTAATGTGCTTATTCCACCGAACCTGAAACCCCCAGACCATTCTGATTACTCAAGACCGTCAGTTCTACTTATTATCAGTTGTTGCTTTTGTTCAATTTACATTTTTAGTTTTGGGATTTCAAACTGTGGGGTTATGATGGGAAACCCCCAATCCAACTTTCCATATTTGACAAACTCTTGAAGTCCGATTTAAAGACAATCCTAAGGTTCTGTTAAAAGGTGTGGACTACACCCGAGACAGGGAAAGAGAAGCTTAATAGCACCAACTGGACTACACCATCTGCCTACCCCCTTTCTGTGCTCAGAATTCCTGGGATCCGTGAGGCCTCCGTCTTCCTCCTGTGAGGGTGAAAGGAGACAACCCACAGCGCCATGGGGAATCCTTCGAACTCACTGCCCAGAGTAACAGGAGATGGCGTGGCGCCCCTGATGCTTCCCTGCGTTCTCGAGATCCACGCTCACCCCGGTCAGCTTGGCGGGCACTGCTCGTTACAGTTTGCATGGCCCAGGAGCAAAAACCTGGTCTTCAAGTCAAAATCCCAACTGTCTCCAGGAGGAGACCAAATTAAACACGCAGGCCTTGCCTGTTCTCCGACTTGAGGATTGCAGACCAGAAATAAAGCTGTGAAGCACCCAGCCACAGGGACTCGGCAGCAACTAATTATAACCTTCAAAGCCTTGGAGAAACAGAACCAGAAAGCCATCAGGTGCTTTTCCTCTGTCCACTCCAGAAACCTAGTTTCATTTCTAAGACACTGAGCTCCCCAGTTCTCCTGTAGCACAAGTTTAATAAAAGGCTTTCCTTGGCACCTGTTGTTTGTGCCTTTCTTACCAGCAGAAATAACAATTACCCAAGGACAGGTAGTGGAATGTGGCAACTTTGGAACAGTTCAGCTAGAAAAACAAAAATCAGGAGCTCCAAGATCGCTCAACAAATGTTATTTGCAGATCGGAAACTGTTGATACAATGAGGTCAAAGAGCTGTGGGGGGTGTGGGAGGTTAACATTTCTATTTGTAAGCCCCAGGACTAGGTTTGGGAGGAATTTTCATGCTTAGAATGAAAAATGGGTGGGGTAGGGTGGGGGTGTCACTAATTAATCCACTTGTGAATGTTGGATTGCTACTCTTAGCATCAAGGGTGTTGTTCTATCTCACTACTTATCACTTACTCTCATCATGGTCAAAGTGGGAGTCCTAATAATTTAAAATGCAAATATAGTATATAGTATGCCTTTCTCTCTCTCTCTATATATAGATAGATAGATATATCTATATATAGGTATATAGATATATATATATACACACACACACACATATATATATATTTAAATTTAATTTGAACTCAGATATGAGCATTGCACTCCAAATTAATAGGAGATCTGTTGGCTAAATAAACCAACAAAGAACATCC